AGGTTGGGGGGGGGGGGGTATGCCTACAGACAGCTAACATGGGATGTAAATGGAACTGATTCAGGAACATTGACTTTCGTATTAGAGCTCTTGATCCTTTTGGTTTAAATATTGGATTAGTTTGTCATTTGTTTGGTTGATTAACTTAAGATCGCCTGTGTAATGGAATGATCGTTCCAATGGTTTTGTAAGTGTGTAAATTAAGTTTATAAACATATTATTCGACTGGGAAGCTATCCGCGTTCCTTACGACAGGAACGTGTCTTTAACACAGTATGTTGTATGTAAGATAATTTATTACTGGCATCTCGTAACATTTGGAATTCTCCTGTACCCTATCTTATTACAAATAACACCCCTTCCCATTCTTTTGTTAACTAAAGAAGCCTTGTGTCAGAATATTTCTATGGTTACGTATAATTTATTTTGTTAAACAATCTCATAATAGCTAGCTTTAAATTTTGAGAGGTGGTGAAAAACGTTTACTTTTAAACGTTAGGTGGGTAGTGTTGCTTAGTGACGTATCTCGTGCGTGAAATGTAGGAGATGCGTATAGTAAGAAACCTAAAATACATTGCCGTCCGTGCAGTTGCATTTGAAGGCTCAATCCATGTTGTTCTTGTAGATTTATTCTCAAGGCAGATTTACTTACCATTGCAGCGCTAATTACACGGTGTGGACCAACAGTTGAGATACGTTCAGGCTGTGTTGCAGACCAGGGCAAACTGCACGAACGCTCAATCTGTATAACTCCTGTGTCCCATCAGGAACATTACTCACCCGTTGTGGTCTTGTTTACGATTCGTGGTTGGCCTTGTCGTAAGGAATTGATTACTGTCATTTTACTATTTAGTCAGTGTACGGGTTGAGATGAAAATTTTCCTTTGACTCGTATTCAGGCTTAGAAACATGACAAATTGAACTTCGTGTTTTCCGCCTCTAGCTAACCAGTACTGCGTTCTGCATCCAATACTAAAACTGACGCATAATGAATATTTTCCGTAAAAAATGTATATCTGTAATGAACGAACATCAAACCCAGTGAGGTATGAAACATAGCAGAAGCATCCACATTTGTGTGTGTGCGCGTGTATGTATGTGTGTGTATGTATGTATATGTATATATACATACATACATATGTAATAACAAAAATTAACAAAAGAATGGACAAGGAGATTAAGATGGTTAGGTCACTTAACACATATGGATAAAAGTAAAAATAATATCCCATTATTGGAGCCTGCTTAATTCGAGTTGCATTATCATGCTTGTTTTCCCATGGTCCGTTTTGAATATGATATTTCTTATTCCAATTTCCCCTTGATTTGCTCTTATTATGATTTTCTATTCAGAACTCTATGTATGTTGTTTGTTTCACTCAGTCCATTTCAGCTTCAATAATTTATGTGTCGAATAATAAAATAAACCCTTGGACTTTCCGTTTTTTAAACTTTCTCCTCTGTAAACTGTATTCATGGAAATTTAATCAGTCTTTTTTGTCATAAGAGACCAGTATTCACTCCCAGTTCAGAAATAATTGTCTGCATTGATAAAATCTAAAAACCTGCTGTTTTTAACCAGTACTGAACACATTTTTCAAACTTGTACAATGATGATCTACAGTGTTCAATGTGCTGTGTTTGGAGGATACTGTGAGTATATATTTTTAAAGTTCTGTGGGATTGCTGAACTAAAGATAAAGTGAAGAGAAGCACAATACAGTTTATAAAAATAGTTTATATTAGGCCCAAGTACTTATAAATTGTAATACTTACAACATTGTCACATACCTTTATATAAAGTATAACATAAATACAATAATTTCGATAATCCCATTGCTTCAGATTACAGAGGCTATTCTATCACATGTTGAGTATTAATAGGTACTGAAACATCGTAGACAGCTAAATCAGGCCTACAAATTCTCTTATCTGGGAACCCAAATCCATACAATACATCTAAGTCTAACCAAGGTTTTCTGATATCAAGGACTTTAAACCTTTGAGAATTAAAATGTTCATTGCCTGTTTGGGCTGGTATTTATGTAAACGTATTTGTTCCCTGCTGATCCTTATTTTGTACTTGTAGTGTAATAATGGACAACAGGATAACGTATTTTGTAAAACGTAAATATATAGAAGTTCCTGTACCTAAACCACTCAGTGAAGGTATATAATGCATATAGGGAGAGTGGAGGTGAAGCTCCACCCATTCTTAAGCTGGGCAATAGATGGCCAGTCTTATCATCCAGCCACTTTACTCCTTGGAAGGAAGTATCCTGTACGCATTGGACAGGTGAGCGACAGAGCCGGTTCGGACGTGGTGGCGAAGAGAAAACTCCCTCCCCCTTCCGGAAATTGAACCCCGGTCAACCTTTGCCGTCCTATCATGCTTCTCCATGGCTTTGTGTTTCGAGCTGCATTTTCTGTTGTGCACTTTCGGTTCAATATTGGACCAATACAATGCTGAGAACTTCTTGTTTTCATAGTCCATTTTCGTTTTTCTCTTCTGTCATTACTCCTTCATTACAGTCTCTGTGTTAATTTTTTTTAATTATATGCCCAGAGTAAATAAAATGAGTGATGTTATATAACACTGTAAAGAATTAAACATGAGTCAGTGATGTAATAAGTTAGATTGGTACCCCTCAGAGAACACTAAACTTTGTTGTCCCATTGATCGACATCAAGTCGATAATAAACACTGTTTGTGTAGTCATCATGAAATATTCTTCTAGCATTAAATTTAAATGTTTCACATTACTATTGCTGTCACCGTGTAGCTATTAAAACAAAGCAATGTGTTTATTGGATTATTTTACAACTTAATATAAAAAGGATTAAAGATGCTGGAAACGTTTGTTGCCTGAGGTTTTCTTTTTTGCCTAATTCACTTGAAGAAGAGTTCTTCTTGAGAAGCCAATAGTACGCTTAAGCAGTCAATAAATTAACCGCCTTTTATGGAACCCGAAGGTTAATGACCGTGTTCACAAGAGACCGCCACAGGTCACTGTCCTGAACCAAATTCATTTTAATATAACCCTCCATTTGCACCTAGGTCTTCCGAGTGCAGACATGTTTTATATCCCTTCTGCATTCTACATGTCCCACCCATCCTCTATTATTTGATCACCCTAATAAAATCTGGCGAGGAGTAAAAACTAAGGTGCTCCTAAATGTGCCAGCCTCCGTCACTCTTAGGCCCAGACGCTCTCTTAAGCACTCCGTTCCCAAATACCCTGAATCTGTGTTCTTTCCTTAACGTGAGAGACCCGATTTCACACCCTCGCAGAATCTGCCTACCTGCCTACTTTAATTTTTGTAGAGTATGTTGCCAAGCACGATTATAATTGCTACGAATAATAATTTTAGTTTTTATTATACACAATCGAGATCGGGGCCCTCAAAACTGTATTAAAAACAACAACATTAATACATGCATTCTAGTACGAGGAAACCAACTACTTTTCATTTTTCTGTTTATGGTTATTGATCCATTTGTTACATACGTTACTTAAGATAATCGATAGTTAGGACAGTGGTTAAGATTGACTTGTGAATGACAGGAGAATTGACTAATCACAAAATAATGTGGCCTTTTGCAACTTTTATCTACATAAATATATTGGAGAACCTCAAAAAAGAGTGCTTCCTTAAATATTTGGATATAAATATTTTCGTAAAAGTTGCTGATCACGTAGACTATGTTATTGTCTCTTGATATTTAAATCTTTCTTCTGTGGGCAGTAAAAACCAGCACTGAGTGAGTTAATTGGAACGTCATAATGCCATAAAATTAGAATCAAGGCTTCAGTATCAATCTGGATTTAAATGTTGTTTAAATGTATCATTTACAGCGTTCATCCTCACAGATAGTGCATTGTAGTACTTTCAAAGCACACGAAGTACGTAATATATTTTATCTTGAGTCCGAACTCCGGTGTTGTCAATCTCCACGCTGCAACAATGCAGTCAGCTCCATATCGATCGGTTTCGGAATAAGAAAAATACCCGGTATCACGTAAATGTGTACGTTTTCTTCACATTCTTTATAAATTTCCATTCAATGGCATCTGTTTCTTGCTGTAAATTCTTCCATTTTTGCAATATGTTACCAATAGTAACCATAAAAATAAGGATATCTTCTACCATAGTCATAACCCCTCCAACCCCTGTATCCATTCCACCCCCCTCCCCAACGTCGCCAGGAATATGGACGATATCCCCAGAATCTATGTTCATCCGTCGTCAAGTCATCCTTTGCTTGGTTTAGTTGTGTCTCTCCTCTGTCCACCAACTGCCGTTCTTCCACATCAGGCAGGTAGCTGGTGTCCAGCGGAGCTTGCTGTCTGTCCGTGTTCCAGGTCTGAGGAGACCTCACCTCCTCCAGGGTCTGTTTTGGTTCCTCAAGTCTTGTCCCAGACTGAGGAGGACTGGGCTGTCCCGAACATGTGCACAGCAAGGCAGCGCATGCTACGAACGCGTACTGAAACAATCATAAAACGTTAATTTGGGTGGTCGGTGTTTATGTGTTTAGAAGTTAATTATCATCCAGAATTCTTGCTCCGGAGGCAGAGGCAGTCAGAGAATGTAAACTAGTAAATAATTAGTCTGCCGTAATTTATGATGGGCGGACCTAACAGAGGACCGAATGGAAGAGGAGAATTGAGGAGGCCATGGACCGAATACGGACCGGAGAGCCATAGAAGAAGAAGAATTTATGGTGGGTCGGACCTGTGACCAAAGAGAACAGAGCGGTTGATACAATAACTATCCAGGAAACCAAGGCCGAAACAACAAAGTTTTACGTTTAGTCTGATCGTGGAGGAAGCAAGTATCAACGCTATTGGAGGGGTGACTTCCGAACATGCATTTGCACTGAAGCGTCACTACAGTTGTAGGCGAGACGCTTCACGGGTTCCGTTGAAAAACAACTTCACCAGATGAAGACAAGAAGAAAGAATAAAGAGGGAAAGACATAACATTGAAATAATAATGCAGTAACAAGGAAGTTAAAAAGATTTTAAGGTATAAGAAATTACGGAAGCATCAGGTGAAAGAAAAATGTGTTGTAAAATTGGATTTGACATCAAATTTATGTTTTTACATTTTCCGTGTTTTTTTTAATCATGACAGATATACACTGTCTTGAAAAGTTCAATGTGGTCTTAAGAAATGTTGGGCACTGGCCTCACTCTTTCTTCACAGATAACAGTATTTCGAGAAGAGTAAATTATGCTGTGCCGTTTGCAACAGCGCCAACATCTACATATTTGCCATGTGTTTCTCGCAGTTGCACTTTCTGTGATACCCTTTATGCTGGCTACGTTGATTTCATCGTCTTTCCATCCGAACACTGCCGTAGAGTAATTAAATAATTAAATTATCTTGTCATCTGACTCTGATTCTTTATTGTTACTGAACTTAATTTACACAATTCTTTCGACACGTGCACTTGTTGTGTCGTATACCAAAACATGAGCAATATGACGGAAATTCTTGTCCTTTTGCACAGACGAACAATGAAATTTTCTAAAACTTTAGTCAGAGTTGACGTATAAATGCATTAAATAAAAAAAATAGATTCTTAGGGCGGAAAAATGGCCGAATTTTTAAAACTTATTAGCTGCGTCGGATCTGACCAAAATTAACTATAATGAAAACATGTGATCATTACCTAAGCTCCATTTAATAAGTCGGCACAATTTTTAATACATACACGAAGTCCTTGCTCTTGAGTTTTGGCGATGTTAGCAGGAGAATTTGTAAATGATAAATCATGAGGTACAGAGTTACCTAAGTTTATTAATACGCTCCATTGCCATACCAAATTGAAATTTACAGTAACCAAATAATTGAAGACAAGATATTAAAAGCGAAGTAGCTCTACGAAATTAACTTCAGTTTCCCGGTATATACATTTAAAGGAATGGGACGATTTGACAGACCTGGACACAGATAAAATCTCATTAAATAGCGTACGTCTGATGAAGTATCACTCACCATTGTCGTCGCCATGCCCTGCTGCCTCTCGCCGCGCCTGTTTGCCACACATTGCCTGTCTTTTGGAACCTGCCTCATATATAAGGGTTTAATGGTATTACAAAGGAGCCGCCCCCCGCCCCCCTCAGCAGACAAAAAAATCAAGAAGCAGAGTCGATGACCGCGCGTAGAGGTCAAGGGTAGACAGCAGGAGATTCTTCGGTGTTTTCCTGTTCTACCTCCATCTCTTTCTTTTTTACTTCTTACGCTGTTTCTCTCAGCCAGCACCGAAACCTGAGGAATTGTATTTGCATTCTCTGTCCACACCATGTCTATGTGGGAAGCATGCAAAGTGCATGTTTGGAATCGTAAGATGAATGTACGACAGGAACAGTGCTCAACAGCGGGTCTCGAGACGTGCGTTCTCCAAGGGTTGTATTGTGTAGTATCATCACATTCAGTTTTTCGTGTCTGTTCTTATCCTCTTTCATGCGTTAAATACGTACGCCTCTCTGAAGTTTCCTCTAATGCTATGAGAATGTTCAGTATTAGAATCAGACGGATCTTACTCACTTCGTTTGGATTTGAAAGTCTAAGACTGTAAAGCCGAATTTGAGCGCTTCAGAAAAGAAAAATATATTGATTCATTGGTTGATAGATGAATGGATGTATGGATAAATGAATAAATTTTTTAATTATTATCGTACTTTATTTACCAATATAGAATATTTGCAGTGTGTATGTTAGGGGTGTTACGTTTCGTCGGTTGAATAATGAACCTAGGACATGTGAATAATAGCAGTTCTGATTTACATATCTAAGACCATGGTTCATACATTGTTCCCTTATAACATGTCACTAAATGTTAATTATCCCTTGTCAATTTTTCCTAAAATTGGTTTGTACAACCAAAAAGCGTTGAAGCGGTCCATGTCATCCTTCCAGATGTTATGCCATTCTGCATATCCACAGTCCGCATCATTTGGACATACGTGCGAGTAGGCCTCTGTTTATCATGCCAACATGTACGTGTATGTCTTGCAGATAGTTGATTTGGTGAGCAGTAGTGAGTGGTAGGCTATATAGATGGAAAGAGAGAGAGGCAGGTGGGAAGATAGATGGTGAGATAAGTATTTGCATAGGGACTGGAAGACAGAGAAAAGAAAAATAATGGGAAACAAACTGAGGATGTTTTACAGACTCATGTGAAGCAATGCAGTGTCGGTCTGATCAGCAGGCAGTATATCCGGTTAGTTGCCTCCTCCTGGCAGCAGTTCAACGTCCGTCTGCGTGCGACCGATCTTGCTCCTTATGATGTAGGAAGGAATAAGGAAATTATTGGCAGTGTTTATTAACACTTTTATTTGCCCCCTTCACAGATTGTTCCAGGGTCATTCCCTGCGCCAGTGGTCGTCCTGAATGTTTTTAATTTTAAAATCAGTAAAACTCTATGACCCCAACATGCCATCAGAGTATACACATTCCAAGATATCAGTAGGATTCCGCGTGAAACTGTTGTAAATGCAACAAAAACACTAAGAACATCGAACCAATGCTGGGAATGCGGCTAAGTTTACATTGCATAAAACTTCACGTGATGTTTTTACCTTGGCGTCATGTCGTGCATACCTTAGCATATTCTGACAATAAATAAAGCTTTGCTATTGTGAAATATTGATTTATTTTCATGATATGTGTACATATGTTTCTTTAATCAACTTGAATTAAGCTGAAATGATGATCAATAAATTGTGTTACATGGAAATGTTCATCTTTGCTAAATTCAGTCACATGTAACTGGCATTTCAGATGAGCTTACTGCCTCCATTACCCTAATGATGGAGGCAGTTGGTCAGTTTCTACCAGACTACGTGGTTCCATATACCAGGAGACTGTCCTCTTCACATTTTTAATGTTAAATGTTCCTGCGTTATAGAGAGAAGGTTCTAGAATGTCGGATGATACTAAGCGTTGTTACCGACTAAGCTCATGGAAGTGGCACCAACCCTGATTTAATACCAATTGTTCACACCAGATAATTATATTGCTTTTACTTCCGCTGGGATAGATGGGAGCACAATATATTCGTGACGACATAGGGCCTGTAGCCAATGTTTAACATTGAGGAAAATGGCTGTCGTCTGTGTTGTGGCGATGTCTAACAAATAGATACCAATCTATATGCTAATATTTTCTGTGTCTGTGACAGCTGTTCGATCGGGTTGGGAAAACGAACTTCCTCGTCGTGCATTCGCGATCTTATGTTGGTAGGTTATCTGTGAGTGGTTATCCATGCCAGAACATTCTAGAATCGTAATAGCATTTAGCAACACTGCGCAGACGCACAGAATTCAACCTTTCACTTTTCCGTCTGCCTTACTGTTCTCTTTCAAAATGGTTGTTCGTAGGGTCAAGATGTTTTGGAATTTATTTATTGGTGTTTTCCTTATTATACAGTCTGAACGCATTAATTCGTCAAGAATTTATTTTCATCAACATATGTTATTGGTAGGTGCTTTTGATGTCGGAAATTGTTTTATATCAAGACTAGTTGAGATGCCATGTGTCGGAATGTGTGATTTGTCATTGAATAAACTTGTTGAACTATTTAAATTTACGCCATTGTTACTTGAAAATTGCAAGGTTCACCTGATACATCTGAAATGTATTGAACTTTGCTGTGGTGCTAGATTTTCTGATAAGTTAATCATTATCTTGGATGTTCATGCTGTCCATATTTATAATAATTAAACCAACATAAGTATACGCATAATTTATCTTTGCAAAATTTATAGTTTCTTGCTGGTAAAAAGTTTGTCCATAAATATGAAATTCAGAAGTAAAATAAAAATTTATTTAATGCATTTCATTTTACAATTTGGGATTACAGTTATTGGTCTACATACAAACATACCTGTCCTTTACGTATGATGTAAATACTTTCATGTATTTTAAGTCAGGACTGCAATGATTTGCAGGATCTGCAGCAGTGCTGAACTAGGCATGGTATTTGAGAGGCAGTCGGTTCACCATTTTGTTGGAAGTGGTTCTTCAGCTACACCTTAGGAATTGTCTTGTTAGGGCCATGACATTTAAGAGTGGCCTTGAGAGATGAAAATCTACTACCTGAGCCAGCTAACTCCACATTCAGGTCCAGGTAAAAAAAAATTCAAGTTGATCCAAAAAGTTACGAGTGACATACCAAATGAAATTCAATTCTTCAGAGCATTTATATGTTTGTGTAACAAGTAATCAGCGTGCACAAATTCCTGATTTATTTTCCATCTTCAAGCAAGAGGTGCCTACTCGTTTGGGTCCGTTGGATACGGCCAGTCTTCATCACTGGACAACACATGTCATCCAACTGTGTCAGCAAATGATAGCAAAAATGTGGGAAAATAAAAATTATAGGACCACTCTTAAAACTAAAAATACAAACATCAGCAAAAACACAATAATTGACATAAAATGAAAGCAAAAAAGGGGGGTTCATCCCCAGCTTCTAAGTTGTCTTAGGTAATTAAAACAAACATCATAAAACAATGAATAACCTACCACTAGCATTCTCTGTACAGGAAGATAGGAACCTACTGCAAGCATCCTGTATTCAAAAAGAAAAAAACCTGCTACTAGCACCCTCTGTGAGAGATAATAACCCACAGGGTATCTTAGGGCTGATGCTGCGGAGGAAACTATCAGTACCTACTAAACTACACTATTGATGCAGTTGGATGACATGTCTGTCAATGGAGACTAGCTCTATCTAGCAGACCCAACTGAGTAGGTACTTCTCGATTGAAGGTGGAGACAGAGGCATTTTCCAAAACGTCATGGTTTATTCTTTCTTAAACAAGGATGATGGGTGGAAAAGTCCAGACAGTGAATAATTTCAACTGATTTTTACTGTTCAGTTCTAGCCATTATTTCTCCTGGCTCTTCAAGGCATATTGTGGAACAGAATTTAAAGCACTTGTTTTAGACCATTGTGCATTGGAAACCCATTAGAGGTCTTCCTGTGTTAGCAGAAAGAGATTTATTGTATTGTTTGAGTAACTTTTGATACATATAGTTTCCTCTGTTCTGTCATACCGTGTTTGATTCAACTACAGGAATTGACCTCTCAGACATGGCATTCTTAGCTGCTCCTGTTTGCAAGTGTTACTCTTTTGGAGTCAAACATACTGTTATGAATGTCAAAGACGGATGTCTCAGGCAGATATACCCCTTTTTTTTTTGCATTTCTTATACTTGTAGGGACATTAGGCAAGAGATGTGTAGAAAGTTTTGCTTGGAATACTAAGCATAGCTGGCGGGAATAATGGTAAATTGGATCTCAAAGTAACAAGAGAAAATGGTGATTCTGATGATGAATCTGGCCTTAATATCATTCCAACCACTGAAACTGAGGTGAAAAGTGTAATACAGTCCCTCAAGTCAAAAAACTCATCAGGTTATGATGAAATAACAAGTAAAATTTTGAAAGCTTGTTCAGGTTTAATTAGTCCATTAACCCACATTTGTAATCACTCATTATACACAGGCATTTTCCCGGACCGCCTTAAAATATCAGTAGTACGACCGCTGTACAAGAAAGGGGACAAAACCAGTATGACAAATTACAGGCCAATTTCACTTTTAACTACTTTTTCTAAAGTGCTTGAGAAGATTATGTACAATAGATTAAGTCATCATATGCATGCTAACAACATATTAGTCCCGGAACAATTTGGCTTCAGGAAAGGTGTATCCACTGAAGATG